ATTTAATAGTAACTCTAACAACGAATTATCAAAGTCAGCTATGCTTTCAGATCAGCTACTCTGGCCTAAAATATGAAATTCACAATGTATTCACTTAAAATCTCATTTGTGTGGTCACTCACAAAGTAACATACCTTTTCACCTTTTTATTTCCTGTGTTTTACTTCTTGTATTCAGACATTTAATTAGGCACTTGTCATTGTTGATTCTCACAGTAACTGATGTTGCAGGTAATACCTGATTTTTAAACACCCTATGTGCATACCTGATTTAAAGGACCACTCTAGGCACCCAGACCACTTCAGCTTAATGAAGTGGTCTGGGTGCCAGGTCCTTCTAGGGTTAACCCATTTTTTTATAAACATAGCAGTTTTCATAGAAACTGCTATGTTTATGAATGGGTTAAGCCTTCCCCCTAATCCTCTAGTGGCTGTCTCATTGACAGCCACTAGAGGCGCTTGCGTGCTTCTCACTGTGATTTTCACAGTGAGAGCACGCAAGCGTCCATAGGAAAGCATTGTAAATGATTTCCTATGCGACCGGCTGAATGCGCGCACAGCTCTTGCCGCGCGTGCGCATTCAGCCCAGGAGGAGGAACGGAGGAGGATTGGAGGAGGAGAGCTCCCCGCCCAGCACTGGAAAGAGGTACGTTTAAACCCCTTTACCCCTTCCAGAGCCGGGCGGGAGGGGGTCGCTGAGGGTGGGGGCACCCTCAGGGCACTATAGTGCCAGGAAAACGAGTATGTTTTCCTGGCACTATAGTGGTCCTTTAAACACCCTATGTGCATTTGCTAACTATTAGGCCAGGACAATATGCAGTTGAAATGTTATCATTTGTTATCTGCCCTGTGGTGTAGTATTTCCAACAGGAATACAAAACAAAAGCTTGGTGGGTCACGGTGGCCATTGGCCAAAGCTGATAGGGGAAATCACAGCTAACATGCTAGCCCAAAGGGCTCAACAGCCAGTGGAGTGATCAATGATATCCTTCACAGCCAAGTCACCCTTTGTCTAAGGGAGAGAAATCGGTCTTCTGCTGTATCAGAACTTTGGCCCATGTAACTATAAAGGGTGCGGTGTGGGGATATGATGTCCATATCTCAATGTATATCAAATATATTGTTGCATGTTTTTAATGTCTTAAATGGGTACATCAAAACAGAAAACTGTGCTTTATTTAATAAGAAAGTTGATGTCAACAATTATGTCCTGTATAATCCCCAAGGGCCAGCTACAGCGAATCAGAAGGAACTCTACGGATAAAACAGTGTTTGAGGAACTGGCAAAATTAATAATTAACACATTTTTAGAGAAAAATTATCCAATTACGTTGGTAGATTAAGCATATAATGAGGTTCTGCAATATAACCAAAAATACTTAATTGAAATGAATAAAGGGGAAATTAATAATGCAAATGATTCAAAAAACGATACCTTTAGTTTTTCACTTTAATGTGGCCCATAGGGAATTGAAGTCTATTGTCCATAAACAATGGCATTTATTAAAGAAAGATAACAAATTAATAAATATATTACCCGATAAACCATTTATTACTTATAGAGGGGCACCGAATTTTAATTTCATTTTAACTCACAATCAACCTAAAAAGGAAGAATATAAGAATTGTATGAATGAAAGAAAAGGTTTTTACTCTTGCAATAAATGCACAGGATGTAAATATAGCAGAAATAAGGCACTAGAACTAGTGAATAAGATCAAAACTCTGAAAAGAGGAAGATCATTTTTTATAAAAGATTTTATCACATGCATCACAAGGAATGTTATATACCTTTTAATTTGTCCTTGTGGCTTACAATATGTGGGTCGGACTATTCGTCCACTGCATAAAAGAATAGGTGAGCATGTTAATATTTTAAAAGGTTTTATTCAACATAGTGTATCTGCGCATTTTAAAGAATGTCACAACATGAATCCTAGAGGTTTAACTTTCCTCAGGATACAGGTAGTAAGGACACCCTCCAGAGGTGGCAATCATATTTTACAAATCTGGAGAGAAGAGATGAAATTGGTACATAGACTTAAAACTTTAGAGCCCCATGGTCTTAATATTGATTTTGATTTGTTTATTTTTTTATAACCTTTTTAATGATCATTTTAGTTCCCCATAATTAGGTGTAAGTCTATTCAATTCTTATTACGTGGTATTAACATTTTTCTTTTTTATCCTTTTTTGGTAGGTATTTATCCATTTTAGATGCTAAATAAGTTATTTGATACTTAAAGGGACACTGTAGTCACTATAACCATTTCATCTCTTTGAATTGGTTATAGCGCCTGGAGTGCCCTGGCACTGTCCCTCCATTCAGTGTTGTACCATTTTTGTGCAGTATGCCACAAAATAAGAGTCTCTGGCCACCCACAGTCCGGCCCCTTCTGTATGTGTATGCCCCTTCTGTATAAGATTACACACTTCCTTGTTGTCATACCCATTCATACCGTCAGTTGGAGCTCTGACAGGCTAAAAGCAGTCAGCTGACACTCTCAGCCAATCACAGCTGCCCATTGCTGCTCATGGTAATACTTCCTTATTAGCCAAAGCAGCACAGAGGGGATGGACTGCCGGGGTTTCTTGTTTAGCATTAAGACATTACAACATTAAAAACTGTTTCATGCTGAAAGAAATGAGTCACCAGGGGACTCCAGACACTATAACCAGTTTAATGAGATGAAGCAGATACAGTGCCTACGGTGTCCCTTATACATGTTTGCAATATTATTTATGTGTATGTCGCTATTTTTATATTTTATATGTTGTTGATATATATTCTATGCTGCTGAGATAGATATAGATTTTTAGGTGTGTTTTTGTCATTATTGTGTGTTGCATTTTTGGTTGTTTTAAAGCAGATTTTAGTGAATAATCCCCTTTCGGTCAAATTATGGTGTCTGACACGCCTTCAAAAGACTTAACCAATTAGGAGGTGGATTTCTCGATTTTAAGGGCTAAGAACGCCCACAATATGGACTTAAAAGGGATTGGAGTTGATGGATGGGCAGATCTGAAGTAGCCGATACGATCGGCGAAACGAGTTATCACGTCAGACGTCGTTTCGTTACGTCGGACTTTACTGCCCTGCTCTCCGGTACTGTTTTTGTAGCGGACTTTGCACATTTTTAGCCCTGAGGAAGCCGGCAAACGGGCTAAGTGCAATCTTGCTGTTGTGGGGTCTTTTTTTTTTTTACACACATTTAGTGTATCTTCTGTTTCATTTATTTTTTAAATAAACTCTTTGGATTGTATCCTGCTGCCTGCATCTCTGTGGATATTGGTCCATCTTTCGTTCTATAGCTGCATAGCCCACATAGCCTGCATAATTTACACATTTTCTCAATTTACTTTATTGGTCTGTAACACAAGTTTTTTATAAGAAACACTAATTGTCTTAAAGACACGGCGCAGATTTTTGGGGATATTACGAACAATAAAACTATTGGAAATAAGCCTCCAATATGTTTCCAGCAGTAGTCAGTAAGCAGGTTTCAGTTAGCATCAAAGGTTAATGTATCTTTAAATATACAAGCAATGTTAGTATGGGATTCAGAGTCATTTTGAGTGATTTATATGCATGATGGGAATTTTGTTAGAAAGAAAAAAAGAAAAACATGAGAGGAAGAGTGGAAACTTGGAAAGAGTACAAAATTAAGATTTTTTTTTTAATAATTCTTTATTTTGCGTTGACAGAAATTACAGCTTGTAAACAGTACTCGGGCTTGTGCAAAAGCCGGACTTTGTAGAATACAGTGTTCTTTCAGTGATACAGAAAAGAGATAATAGCTTGTTAAGAGATGTGTCTTTCGTTCGGGGGCCTTTCTTTTGTGGCCGTATTCCGTCAGAGTTTTTACATTTTTATGCATATAAACAAAAAATTAAAAACTGGGAACGAAAACAATGGAGATATTCCATAAAATAGTAAATAACTAGAGAACTTTAGTGCTTAACAAGCTAGGCTTTGTCTGGTCATCTGGTTTTTGATGACATTGGTATAATCCATCTTGTACACTTATAAGTGGCGTGGTGGATTATATATGGTTCGGCTAGTGGTAGCGTGTGAGTGTGTTAAGGGCTAGGTGGCGGGGACTTTGTTCAAAATTAAGATTTTTGGTACATTTCCTCCAAGAGTTTAAAAAGCACAATTCATCTGAATTGTTTTGTGTTCATGTCATTGTAACATTTCATTTACTAGTGAAGCCAGAAGCAAAATAATAGGGCTAAACATATGTATATTAATTTAAAATAAATTATTAAACAGTTATTTAATTTAAATCAAGCCTATGCCTCCGAATTCAAAAATCGAGTTTATAGTTTTTTTTATGAAGACAAAAATAGAAATGTATTTACTTTGTCTTTTTTTTGCTATAACAATAAATAGACTGTTTTGGGTTATGCTAACAGTGAACCTGTTTTGTAAAAACTGATTAACATTGACTAGTAGATGCTTTCCCAGCCTTATAGCTACAATATCATTATGGAAAATGAAGTCCCCGACATCTGGAATGCCAAAGGTTGCCTACCCATGGACTAGAGAGGGTTCAGGTGTGCTGACAGCTCAACTGAAAATTTTGAAAATAGGCAAAAATTCACATATAAAAACCGTAATATCTGTCTGTTGCAGATAGTTCTGTAGTTGATGGACCAGATGCTGAAAAGGACAAGCTAGCAGCATCACTAGGGGTTGTGGTGAAAGTGCACCGCACTGGAACCACAATCAGAGGTGTGACACCGGTTGACACCATCTGAGCTCTTCAGTGAGTGGTATACCCAGAGCCAAATCATCCATCAGGTATCTTAGGTTGTCGCTTGGAACTGGGCTTAGTCAGGGGCCTGGAGCTACAGTTCTGGCTTTGAGGGGTCATTCCAGAGCCGATATGGAGATCAATAGATCTTCTTGCTTGGCACTGTACCTCCAGACTACCTTAAGGGAGTGCTGTGGACTGCACCAATACCAGGTGAAGAACACTTTAAGAGCTCCCTTGTGGTCCCAAGTCTTCTCAATGACTCAGAGCACCATAGCCAGTGCTTTGAGTCATAAACTGACTGCTGGAATCTAAAAGTGTTCTGCACCTGATATTGGAGCAGACCATAATGCTTCTTCATTGGACCACCAGGGATCCTGCTCACCTTTTACAAGACTACCATAAAAACTATGCATATGTTTGTGTAAATTTATGACTGTATGTATCTGTCTGTGTGTAATTGTATGGGTCCGTGTATCTGCCTGTGTGTACGTGTGTCAGTGTATGTACCTGTATGTGTACATGATGGGGCCACATAAGCGTCTCTGAGCCTCGAGCAGCAAAAACCCTGGTTTTGTCTTATTTAACCCTTTAAGGACCAAACTTCTGGAATAAAATGGAATCATGACATGTCACACATATCATGTGTCCTTAAGGGGTTAATCGTGGATTTATTTATTTCTGTAATATAATGGACACAATGGACTCACTAACAAGTGCCCCTTGGGTGAATCACAGGGAAAATAAAAATTACCTGACTGCATTAAGGGTAATCTTATTTCACTTTGGGGCTTTTTGAAAGAGGGTAGGGACCCCCACTACCTTTGTTTCCTTGACACCTCCTTTAAAATCCAGAGTAACTGTTTACTGCTGTTATATATACACACCTATATAATGTTTAGGGATGGCATGCTGTATACCCAGTTCTGTTAGTATGTGACTTTATTTGTAATCTGAAGCTCATAAATAAAGAATTGATAATAAAAAGGATCCTATAATTGCATTATAGAGGAGTTTATCCACTAAACTTCATATTCTTACACATTTAAATTTGCATTGTAAAATTCAGGCTGAAATAGCAGACTTGGCAATTCCATTTACATTTCAATCTGCAAGCATTCAGAGTTTAATGAATACACTTCATACTCTCTATATAGGTAATATTTTTCAAATGTAAAAACATAGTCTGCTCAATATGAGTATATTTTTCAAAATACAATATGTTTTCATAGCCCTAAAAAATATCTCATTTTTATCTCACAGTTCAGAGACAGAAGACAGCATTTATTCATTTGGGATGCACAACACCTGACAAGTATTTGTATATGTCGTCATGGCACACTACTACCTTAATTTCATTGTACAGCGCTACGGAATCTGATGGCGCTATATAAATAATAAAATAATAATATCAGTTTGGATCATCACACATTCACTTTCTAAAGGATTATGGTTTTTTTCTGTAACTAAGACCCTAAATAAGACCCTAGTGTGAATTCCACTCTGCAGTCAAAAGCTTGGATAGACTGGTTCTACTAAATTGTTTGGATTACTTTTCTACTTGTGACCTCAATTTTGATTTATGTACGATTCTCTGATTGCATTGAACTTGGATTGTACTCATGGTTTGTTACAGTGTATTTGCTTTACTGCCTATTGTCCACTTTGTCTGTGCTTGTTATTGATACTCCCTAACTCAGACTGTCTGTCCACTGATGCTGTATGCTGCAATACTGATCTAAACAATCATTTCTGGATTAGGCCATATGAACCTTAGCCTCCTTTTTAAATATAAAATATAGTCACGTGAAGTCTGTCTATCATTTCACCTGCATCTTAAAATTATGACATAGCTAGTTAGTTGGTATGTTATGTTGAACATTTTATGTTAAAGGGACACTATAATCACCCAGACCACTTCAGCTCAATGAAGTAGTCTGGGTGCCAGGTCCCTCAGGTTTTAACCCTTCAGATGCAAACATAGCAGTTTCAGAGAAACTGCTATGTTTACATTTGGGGTTAATCCAGCCTCTAGTGGCTGTCTTCTGGACAGCCACTAGAGGTGCATCTACGACACTGGAGGCACATTTCGCCTCCATCGCGCAGAGCGTCCATAGGAAAGCATTGAGAGGGAGCCCGGCGCTGGAATAAGGTAAGCTGCTGAAGGGGTTTTAACCCCTTCAGCGCCACAGGAGGGGGACCCTGAGGGTGGGAGCACCTATCCTAGGGGCTCTATCTTTTTCCAATTTGTATTTTCCTTACGCTGTCACCCTCCCTGATTTCTACCTCTATTATGAATGTCTGTTTTTGACACAAATTGCTACAAGTGTTTATCTACTTAAATGTGACTTTAAATGGTTACAAATGACTTGTTCTCTGTAGAATGTGAAAGTCCCCATTTCTCTCCTACATATACTTATTGACACCACTGAATATTCATATAAAAGGATTAGAGTTTTTCCCACCTCCTGATTTTTACTACCCCCTTTTTATATAAATTCAAATAAAGGTTAATACAAGCATACAAAATTAACTCAAACTCACACGACTCCTAGGCGGCAGCAATGACTCCCAGTTATTTAAATATACATATGGATTTGGGATAGTGTGCAAATAACTTTTTTTTTCCCTTTGGTTTTTATTGTAGGTATTGGTGTTTATTTGTACTATAGTCATTTATGCTGCCCAGGAGTAGTGGGAGTTTGAGCACATGGCTTTATTTTGAATGTTTGTATTTGTATTACACAGGCATGTTACAGTGCTGCCACACAGAAATTTTAGTCATTTTTGCTATTTTGGCCTAAACTGTGAAATTCACTTTAAATTCACTTTGAATTTCCAACAATTCTCACTTTAGTGAATTAGATATGGCATACTTGCTTCTAGACTCCAGTTAGTTTCAAGAAACAAGGCAAATTGTTCAGAGTATGTGTCAAAACAAATAGTATGTCAATGTGCTTATTTTTTTATTTAATTAAATACAAAAATTAACTATCCTGCCTGTAAAACATGAATTCAGAAATACAGTTTACTGAGGTTCCAAGAAAATATGTTGAAACCAAATTACTCTTGATCTTGAAATGCTTCATAATTGCTTGAAAGCAGAAGTGCTTATTCACATATAAGGACACCGTAAGATGACAGTATTTCAATAGCATAGATAATATTATTGACGTTTGTGCACGATGTGTCACTGGCCGGACTGTTTGTTTGTTGCTTCTACGAGCTTGCTATTATTCCATGAGCTAGTTTTATAACTTACAAGTCTGTACTCCTTCAGTTAATACTTAATGAAATCAAAACACAAGTTTAGCCAGCCATGACTGCTGTGCTTAGAGATTTCTGATTAACTGAACAAACTTTCAAAGGTCAATTCAATGTCAACACCTGCTTTATTATAAAGTTAGTTTATGAGATTACACAACCAACTTGGCTAAATTAAACACGAAGATAGTTGATTACTTTGCAGAAAAAAAATAAGGCACATACGTTATATTTGTTGCTCACTCAGTCTATATTGCATATCAGTCTATATAATTTTTCAGTTTTCTCCTCTATATGACGCATTTTAATGTCATGTTATTGTTCTAAAAACAGAGAAATATATGCTCCATGTAAGATGCCTTTCCTTTTCTCAAACCTTACTATTAATAAATAATACATGTTTAACCTGATTTAGCAGTTTCAACTAAATAAAGCTTCTTTCAACAACAAATCAAAAGAGAAACAACTCCAAAGGTAACCAAACTTTTCTTGATTAATCACAGTAACTAAAAATAAATAAATAAATAAAAACAACCATGTCCACTAATTTAGCAGCAACTGGTGCACAACCCCCCTCTCTCCAACCCCTTCCAAAAGTAAAATGGTGTTGGAAATAGTACAACACATTTCTGAATATCTAATCTATCTGCAAATACTGCACATTATGTGTTTTTTTTTTCTTTATTTTCCAAGCAATATAAATACACATCCGGGAGTGGTTCAAACAAAGAACTCCCACTCTCAGAACAGACACACTATGATATGTAATTTTACAAATTCAAATATGCCTTTAGACATGTTTTCTGATACAAAAAAAAAAAAAAAAATATAATAACTAGACAAGTTCCTGCTACATACCCTCATTAAAAACAAACAAACATAAACCCTAACCCAGACAGATGTGATGTAAATCATCCTCATTTATGGTCATACATTTTAATAAAGATAAAACATATTGTCGTACTTTTGTTCATAACCCATAGCAACAAATATGCCTTATCAACTGTCTGCATTTTGCCGAATGGCTCAAGACTGAGGAAAGGTCTAGGCCCATCAATAATGCAGCGGTCATAGTCACAAGCCCTTGGGCAATATATTATAAAGAACAAAATCACTGATAGTCATTATATGGTCAAAGAGCCTGAATATCCAATCCCAGGCATAAATGCCAACTGCTTCTACTTCTGGGCTATTCTTTAATCAGATCTCTAATAGCCCTCAAATTAGAACCCCTTAATCTTCTTAACGAGGTCTGTATATAGGCTCAAAGATCTATGATTAAGGTAATCATTCATAAGAATCAGCCCCTTTTCCATCTCAAGTTGATAAAGCAATTGAGCTTTAAGATGGTCTTTAGATGGAATCTCAGTGTTTTTCCAGAATCTTGCAATTAAGATCTTGGTCGCCATAAAGCGATGAATAATCAAAATATCTAAATTATCATTTGTCTCTCTTTCCAAGAGATGAAGTAAGGCCCTTTCTGCCTTTTTTTTCCAAACATATACCACCTAGCCCATATAGAAACTCAAATTAAAGATTCCAGAAAGACTTAATTCTAGGGCAAGAACACCAAATGTGTAACATAGAGCCGTCTGGATGAAAATAGCGCCAACAATTTGGGGGATTTGTATGAGATATCTTTGTAAGTCTAGTCGGCACCATGTAGCATCTATATAAGATTTTAGTGAAGGTCTCTAGAATATTCATACAGTGGATATGTTTTTTGATCACCATACATGATTTACACCATTTGCTGTAAGGAATATTTATTGCTAGGTCATCCTCCCATTTACATAAGGCTTTAGGAATATCTGGACCTCCCTTAAGTTTTATCAATTCGATCGCTATCGAGAACACACTTTTTACATCAAACCCTGAAATTTTTTTCCTAAACAGGTCACCTAAGCCGCCTTCTAAACATAGCATGTGTTCTTTAAGAAAGCTCTTAATACGGAGGTAATTAAATACTTCTCTGGGAGGGAGATCAAGTAAATTCTTTAAGACTTCAAAACTTTTCAAGTGCTGACCATTATATAGATCCTTTATTAGATAATTTGAGCTTTTATACCAATTTCCCAAATTAATTTCTGTCATAAGCTGTTCCAAAGATTTTAAACTAAGATTCTCATAAAGTTTATTATTAATATCTAGCTTATTCTTTATAATTTTCCATTCTTTTAGTATTTGAGAAAGGGTCATAGAAGAATGTTCTGTAATCTCCCCTAATGCCCTATTCTGGCTTACCTCTCTCCATAAGAGAAGATCTAGATTAACCAATCCTACTCTGGATGATTCTATATTGTACCATACTTGGTTTTTTGAATCCTTTAATTGTAATTTACTAGCGTGGACCAGCATATTAGCCTGATATACTTGTATAATTAAAGGATAT